AGCTGTTTTGCATGAGCGCTGCGATTTGGCTCTAGATCCCTCCCTTGAGCAAAGCGGCCCGTAGCAAGAGAAAGGTGAGCAGCTGACAACTGCTCTCCCTGTACAAGGACCTAGCAGGTTCTTCACACAACCTAAACCCAAGATCACTGTATAAACTCTCAAGCCTCAATTCCTAAACGCCGTATTCAGGCAAGTCTCGATGAGCTCCGGCAGGACCGGCTCCAACTGACCAAGGCCCAGGGATGGATCCTGGAGCGCAAGGCTTTTGGGCTCAGGATGTTCAGGTATCTGGATGCAGGGATCGCAGAAGTAAAATCTGGGGGTTTTTAGGGTTGAGGTCCTTCGAGGTGAGGGGTTTGCTGATCCGTGTCTCAACAACCAGTCCATAGGACAAGACAAGCTGCTTCGCAGCGATGGATGGATTGAGCCATGCTCGCATGACTGGCACCACAGAGCAAGGAGCACATGAAGGAAAGTCTAGGTGTGGTAGGTAACCTCCTCCAAAGGACGGGATGCCGTGCTTGCAGATGTTGGAAGGGTCCGCGGGATTACACGAAACCCTCACACTCACAGGAGTCCGGCGGCTGGATGCTCTCCAATACCTGCAGGTGGTGACCGGGACAATTCGCTCAAGCATCCCGGATCAACTCTGGTTTGACTAGTATGAATTGTATCGGGACTGCAATATAATACTACGAGGGGATATCATCAGTCGTTAGAATGAACGTGCGGGGTGGCTCCCGGCTCAGACTCCCCCAGCGAAGGCCCCGACAATCCTCCGCACCCCGGCCTCGACGTGGCCCTCCAGGGCCATGGCCAGGATCCGGACACTTGCGACGCGCTGATCCAGGTCCTTGATGGTTTAGGGTTTACATTTAGGGTATGGCTGACTGGGGCCTGTGTCAAGGACGGATTTACGTTGTGGAAACCATAGTATTTACTATAGATCCATATGATGGTCCACTTAAGCTAAGTTCCTTAACAAGAACCCACAAGAAGCCGGACAGCTGCAAGGGGGAACAAAGAAGATAGTTCGTACCCAGAACTCCAATATCCTTCAATTAAGGAATATCCCTTAAATCTCATTAGGGTTCCTGCTATAGTTCAAGCTATATTCCTGAAGTACGGGATATTGGAGTCTCTGGCTATTGCTAAAGGTAAGCGGCTCCAAACAGCTTGCCGCTTACACTCCGGAAGATGACAGCAGCATCGCAATGCCGAAAGGGTAAACCCTTAAGCCCTTACCCTAAACCCGACACTCTAAACCCTCAACCCTAACCCGAAACCCGAGACCCAACTCTGAAACCTGAACCCTGAACCCTGAACCCTGAACCCAAACCCTTACAATTTAGGGTTTAGGGTTTAGTAATAGGGTAACCCCTAAGCCCTAAGCCCTAAACCCTAAACCCTAAACCCTAAACCCCCCCAGTTAAAGTCCGGCCACCATGGTCGAGTCTGCGTCCAGGGCTCCCCTGAGGCCGACACAAACATGTCAGGGTTTAGGGTTTAGGGTTCGGGGTTTAGGGTTTAGGGTTTAGGTGACTCAGCAAAGCGGTTGGGCTTAGAATCAAGGAAGGCTTCTACAGGGCTCCATGAAAACCCTTCTATCTACCATAGATGCCTATGCTGGCAACCCTAGAGGGTCCAACTTTAAACCCTAAACCCTAAACCCTAAACCCTAAACCCTTAACCGGAGCTCAGTTCCAGGTGCAGGTCCCTGCACCTCAGCTGCGTCCAGAGAGAAGTTGGCTCCAGAAAAGCCCCGAGCAGCTTGCAGACGGTGCTGTAGGTCTGCATGGCCCTGTTGCAGACTTTATAGGGAACTTCAGGGTCTTGAGTTTGGGGTTCAGGGTTTCGGGTTTCGGGCGACCTTTTTTCAAGGCGTTAGGGTGGTTAGGGTGGCTAGGGTTGTTAGGGTGTCGGATTTGGGGTTGAGGCCCTGATGGTTGTGGGTTGTAGGTTTCAGATTTCTCGGTGTTTGGGCGGTTTGCAGCTCTTGTGTCGGGAATGGGGCATGGTGGCCCTTACGTGTGTTTCTACTGCTCTTCTTATCACTACTGCTACCTCGGCTGACTTTTCGACCAATGCTATTACTGATATTCAGTCGATGCAAACCCTAAAGCCTACACCCTTCTAAGAATCATATCCGTCTATCTTTTTGTCGATCTATCGACCTATCGATCTAGCTATCCAGCTATCTAGCTATGTATCTATATGCCCATCGATCTATCTATCGATATGTCCCTCCTAAACCCTAAACCCTAAACCCTAAACCCTCAAGCAACCCAGAAAGAAGGTGCAAATCCTACGAGGCCATGGAGTCGCCACGAACCGGCGCCTGGCATCCGCTGCTGCCCAGGCTCGTCCGGAGTAGAACCTCAAAGGCCGTCTTCAGAGGAGGTTCTTTAAGGGGTTTAGGGGTTTAGGGGTTTAGGTTTTAGAGGTTTAGGGGTTCAGGGGTTTAGGGTTTAGGGTTTAGGGCTTAGAGTTTTAGGGTTTAGGGTTTTCGGGTTTAGGGGTGGTTGGACTACAGGGCTTGCAGTGCAAAGCTTTGTGGAGGTTGATTGGCTACGGCTTAAGGTTTAGGCTTTAAGCGGAACTTCGGACTCTGGTTTGAGATCTGCAATCTAAATGAACGGAGTCGCACTGCAGCGAGCATTTTCCGACGATAGGCTCAGGCCTGAATTGTCAAATTTAACAAAATCCCCTCGTGGCCAAGCGGCGAATACACTGAACGCCGAGGCAATGTCGGTAAACATGTGTTTTAAAACCGATTATGTTAAAAGTTAAAAGCGTACTACGGTCTGTACGGTCACCGCTCTGTTTGACAGGCGGCATGCAAAATTGCAGTGCTGGATCCGTTGCGTCGGGCA